ACGGAACGTTACCCTGGTCACTATTTGATATGGTTAGGCGTTAGGATTAGGGTTAAGGGTTCGGGTTCGGGTTAGGGAGTAGGCGTAGGCGACTCCTAGACTCGTTAGTGGAGTAGGCGAGGTACGGTCCGGCATATTAGATAGTACCAGGTACGTTCCGGCAGTACCCTGGGGGACATAGACCCTCTCAGCCAGGGTAGATCCAGACTGTCACAGACTTGTGACAAAATATCAAGGATTGATGATTTTCACAAAACTATGATGTTTCTGACGACACTTTACGACGAAAAATCGTAATATCATGAACATTCCGGACAGGCATATAACTACGTCTGTTGATCTGACAATGGCCCCACCGGCCGCTAATATATTTATTGTTGTCAGACACATGTGCGATCCTGTAATAAATACATTGTGCAATTATTTCATTTTTATACAATATTTTTTACTTGTTTATATTATTAGAAAACGTACAAATTAAGGTTCTCCTCAAGAAAGAGAGAGTGGGTGGTGCTGGAGTGATGGAATGTTCAAACAGTTAAAACAGGCTGCAGAAATACCTCGCACAGAAACACGCATGGAAAAGTCATATTGTCACATAAAACTGGAATGATTAAGCTACAATGCATGCGCGGCAACACATTATTCATTCTTTTAATAAAGCTTTAACAAACTTCATTCAAAGGAGCCTGTGTCTATGATAAAGTGTCCGAGAGGTGGCGCTGATACAAAAAAAAACACGTAAACTCCGAGTTTGGTTTTCGAGTTGTTTTTGTTTGTGTTAAGTTGATGAGAACACCTATTTTAATTGTTACCGAGCTCATTGGAGTATGCCCGATATACAGTGCACACCTTTGGGTATGCTACACACTGGTCAAATGTTCGAAAACAATAAGACGTCGTCACATGCCATGGCATGGCTCAATTCTTTCATTGAATTTGTAGCACGGTTCAAGGATAGACATGATAGTCAAGACTTGTAGCGTTTCAATAAAATATACGCACTAAAATATAATGCTAAATAAATACGAAATCTGTTTACTACCCTAGTCTTAATGTTTCTCTATTTTCTTTTGCCGACAATTTCTTGTGAATGCCGTCCAAATGCTCATCTGCAACACACGCTGGCTGCTGCACGCTACTAGTAGTAGTAGTTACTAGTAGTAGTACTACTACTATTACTACTACTAGTAGTAATAGCTAGCTGGCGCACTGACACATAAATATATTGTCGGCAATAATAGGTGAAAGAGAGTAGAGAAACATTAAGACTGGTAGTAAATAGATTTCGTATTTATTTAGCATTATATTTTAGTCCGTGGCTACGCGACCGGCTCGCGACGAGGAGCCGCTAGGCTACGCGTCTGGACATCATCTCACACGGTGATCTTGCGCACCGTACACGCATGAATTGCGCAACGGGACGCTCTGCTGATTGCCGAGTGGTGTGTGTGTGTGTGAGAGAGAGAGGGGGGAATGTGTATGCGTGAGAGAGAGAGAATGAGAGAGAGGGGGGGAATGTGTATGTGTGTGTGTATGCGTGAGAGAGAGAGAGAGAGAGCTAGAGGGTGATTGTGAGAGAGAGAGAGAGAGCTGTGCGTGTGAGAGAGAAGCGAGAGAGGACGGATGAAAAAATGGCAGCAGTGCATATAGTTGTATATTTACGGCAATTAGACAGAGCGTTCCCGTTGCACAATTATGCGTGTCGCGAGTTCCGCGCGATCACTGTTTGAGTGGATGTCCGGATGCGTAGCCTGGAGGCTAGGCGACCGGTTCCGGACGCGTAGCCACTGCGTATATTTTATTGAAACGCTCCAGTCCAAGTGCCTGTGGCACTAGCAGTGCTGTCACTGTCACTGTTGACTGTTGTTGTTGTCAGTGCCAATCAGTGACAGTGTCACTTTATTCGTTAGAAGTAACAGGAACCCGTACAGATATCAGTTGCTATCCAATATATACTGTATATATGCTGCTATCGCTCTGATGGCCATGATGGGGGCGTCTCCTGATATTATGGACATAAAACCTATATATATATATATAAGATCATAGTGGTGAGTCTTCAGTGTAGTGTCTGTAAACCGTAGATCGAGTCTCAGCTGAAAGTGACAAGGTTGGACTGGTGTAGTGTGCTGGGGCCGGCTAACTAGTGAATGACAAGACATGTCAGTTTCAATATCTATACAGCGTGTTACTTACATTCAGATGCACTACCATGTCACTATATTCCGTGTATGGGAAACACAACATGTTCCAGAGCAGAATGTGTAAGGTTGACCATTCACTGATTCGTCACGCTGTGCAACTTCACATTCTAGAAAACGATCCTAATTGCACATCCATCGTCAACTATGTAACAAGTTCATTAAAAAATGTTAGTTGTACATACATGTAAGGTTGTACGTACAAACAAGTACCAACATGTCACATACCATTCTCAATTGTCACACTGTGACAACTACACAGTTAGAAACAATCGTAATACACCTAAGCGGTCAGGAACTTAAGTTATTAGTGTGTAAGTATAGTTTGAGTGGGTTAGGGTGATTGCTTGATTGATCTATGCACTAGAGTGTAAGGCATATCTAAATGAGCCCTTATGTTGTGTGATGAGGACTATACACTATATACAATCTGGTCAGAGTCTGCGAGCTAAAGCACCGACTTTTAATATCTAGAGTAGAATGGTTAACTAAAAAGTTAAACACTCTTCATTTCTTGGTGGCCATCAATGTATTGTTACTTTGAAATGTTTCGAGCAGTTGCCGTACGTATCAGTTTTATCGGGTATGAATCTGCTTTGATTTCCAGGTGCAGGGCAAGATGTAGGTAGAAGCTGTATCCTACTGAGCGTTGGTGGCAAAAACATCATGCTGGACTGCGGAATGCACATGGGGTACAATGATGATGTGAGTACACACACACATACAGTGTAGCCCCGTTATAACGTGATTGTTGGGGTCCATAAAATGTCATTGCAAAAAAAGCAGGGTCACTCACGCTAAATCGGGGTTAAAGAAAATCAGCGTATAAACTAACTCACCAAAAAACTTCAGTTCCGGAAAGAGCAAAAAAACGGTCCAATGACTCATTGCGGTATATCCGAATTCGCGTTAAATCGGGGCGCGTTAAATCGGGGTTTCATTGTATATATATATATAATACATATATATATATATATATATATATATATATGGTATACCGGACCGTACCCAGGGTACGTTCCGGCAGTACCCTGGGGGACATAGACCCTATGAGCTCTACCCTGTCATAACGTCATAAGCTGACATACCTAATGAAAAAATTAGGCATTGAAATCATCATATTCGTAACAAAATTCACAACACAACGTCGGAAAATTCAAAATAACATTAAATTACTTCATAATGCATCACACGTACTTCATAATATGTACCAGCACTTCACAATCAATTATCCTCAACTTATAATTCGCTTTAATAAATACCGACAGAAAAACCAGATTGAAATACGACTCAAGATGTAAAACTTTTGTACAAATTCGCCACCGAAGTTACTCGCCAATAACTTCACTGCAGCATAAAAAAACAGCACGAAGCTTGATGGATGCATGCATCAGCTACTACAACCTGGGTAATCTGACTTGGTCAAAAATGACTTATCAGCAACAGTGACCTCGGCCGAAAACCGGAGACGATCGAATGCGTGAGACCTTACGAAGTTACGACCCCCCCTCTGCTTCATCGAGCGGCAAACATGGCCGTCCGACCTTGGCGCGACTTCTAGATGGCCTCACTCAGGTCTCAGCAGCGTAGCTACGAAGGAGCAAGGCTGATTGCCCGCCGTCAGCTTGACCCGGACCACCGAGAAGATGGTGACGACCTGCGTAAGAGTGTTGCTGGCGCCCTCTATGGGGTTCCACACGAGCGTGAGCATCCGCTTCTCTCTCTCCTGCGCGAACGACATCGTCTGCAGCGGCAAATCCTGAAAGACACACGCAGGTTATGAAGCGAGCAGCCGCACACACTCCCCCTATGTGGTGTGCGGAGTCACGCGCACGCAAACGCAAGACGCGACGAAAATCTTACCGTCTTTAAAATTGTTTATTTATATTAAATTGTTTATTTTTATAATTAAATTATCATAAAATTAATTTTTTATTGTTTATACGTCTCAGACCTAGAAATTGTTTTTATCCAGTTTTTTTTATTTGGTTGCGTTTAGCTAGTTCGCATCCTTAAAGGTTGATACACACAGCACTGCATGCAAGCTTGTCCCTGAAGCAGACACTATAGGTGCTACTGTTGTATTTGTTGTATAAGGGCTATGTCATCCATTTTATTTAGATTTTTTGCTATTGCACTAACGCAGGTACTCACCAAAATACATTGCTGTTCTTCTTTCCACTCAATTATCGTAAGTATGGTTAGAAATAAGTAAGTAATACTCAAGATTATAACTGTATCAATGCAGAAATGTACATCAGTGCATGAATATAAGAGACAACCGCTGATGGTACAACTGTTATAGCGTATACCTACTTCGCAATAAACTCTCTTCACGACTCCCAGCTTCAAGATAAGCACATCAAACGAGTGGTCCAGCACGCCGATCACCATGCCTGTTTTCGCAACAAAACAAGAAACTAAGCATTACTCACAAGCTCTGACAACTTGACTACAGACAGAGACAAACAGTCGGCGTAGCTTAGAGTTTGACTCCATTTTTATATTAACAAATCTGTGATCCAAAAGATTATATAAACATATCTGTGATTCATACAGAGTAGGCTTCGGCCCCTGTGTCTCAAGGAATGTCGTAAATCAATGCTGCAGAAAATCCACTATTTTAGGTAAAACTGGCACATAGAGCAGTCCGGTTGGAAGCATATAATACGACCACCGCCAATGGGCGAAACATGTTATGAGGGGTGCAAAAGAGATGGAAGCAACCGGTAACCCAACCCCCACGACAGATGGCGCTCTCGCTCATGGGCTCAATCTTCGTATCCTGAGTGTACGAAGGTGCACTGCATGCAGTTTGCCGGTAACCTACCAGAAATTTGGCTAATTTAGATGCATTCTGGGAGCCTCACTTTCGTGCACAACATTTCCGTTTCCGGTTCCCTTGTTTGAATTCTGACTTATCAATTCTCGTATTTGCTCACTGTAAAAAAAATTGTCCAGCAATTCAACCGGGGCAGTCGCTCAAAGGCTATGCCTTACTATATATTACAGTACCTTCTTCCTCCAGTGGTTCACACTCCTTGACAAAGACGGTGAAGTAGATTTGATTGCTACGTTCCGAGGCTAGCTTTGCATTGTACTTCTTGTCGTTGCAGAGTTCTGCCTGCGCCTGTATCTCTGCAGGACTCAGCGTTGTGGGCTCGCTATAGCCTAGTGCCGCTGCCAGGAGCCTACAATGAAATGTATGCAGAACTGAACCCGGCGCCCATTTAAACGATAACAGATGCCAGCCATGACGATTCGTCGATTAACTCGCGAAAGATGTCAAATAAAAATTTTGTAAATGATTTTTAGCTCGTTAAATTACCATTATTGTAAGAATGAGTCAACACCCAAGGGATTTCGTCTGAAACTTGACGCAACCTGTGCGCTTAGTTTTACTTCACACCCGGTTCGGTAAAATCGACGATAAATCTTTCTAGTCACCCGACATGACCATAAACGAAGGCACCTGCCACACGGGTACACACCCCCTCCTGATACACGTATCCAGTTTTAATGTTAGAATAGAAAATTTCATATCGGGCCCGCGTGGAGTCATTTCTCACTTTGAAACTTCACGTCGATATTTTCACTGCCCGAAAATTTTTTTGCACTTTGGAGACCTGACCTGGAATAGTTTTCACGAGTTTTAAGAGTTCTTCACGAGTGTCTCACGAGTACTTAATTTTTGTTCGGGGTTTTGAGCAGCGAGTGAGACCCCCACCTGTGCACGAGGACGTCCGGGTAGCGTCGTATGGGCGACGTGAAGTGCGTGTAGAGCGGCACGCTGAGCGCGTAGTGATGGTAGGCGCTCTCGTCCGTCAGGCGGCCCGTACAGAAGTAGATGGCGAGCTGAAACGAGAGAGCATTCACGCATGCGTCACGCGCCGCAGTGTAGGCAGGGGGCGCCGCCTATGCATCGGCACTTCGCTGCCGTGTAGGGAACGACTCCGTATCTACGGCAACAAAATGGCGAAAGCCCGTCACGGGGCGTGTGTAGTCCGTGCAGCTACACTACGCGATAGCACCTCAGCAGGCAGTTGGACATCATAGTCAAGAGTTGCACGACTATCGCACATTTTGCGAACTAGGTTGCGCATGCTACGACCGCATGTGAGGACGATGCGTGCGTGATATCACCGTTGGAACGAGGGATGGTGTCGGCCGGTGCGACGACGCGTGCGTGATATCACCGTTGGAACGAGGGATGGTGTCGGCCGGTGCGACGACGCGGTGCGTGATATCACCGTTGGAACGAGAGATGGTATCGGCCGGTGCGACGACGCGTGCGTGATATCACCGTTGGAACGAGGGATGGTATCGGCCGGTGCGACGACGCGTGCGTGATATCACCGTTGGAACGAGGGATGGTATCGGCCGGTGCGAGCGACGCGTGCGTTGATATCACCGTTGGAACGAGGATGCGTATCGGCCGGTGCGACGACGCGTGTGCGTGATATCACCATTGAAACGAGGGATGGTATCGGGCGTGCGACGACGAGTGCGTGATATCACCGGTTGGAACGAGGGATGGTGTCGGCGGTGCGACGACGCGTGCGTGATACATCTCTCT